TGCGTTTTATAATCCTTGGTCGGCTAAGAGGGTAAAATCTGAAAGCTTAGTGGAATCTCCTTTCGGTCGGATGAGTAATCCCCGCTCCAGCCCACGATTTTCGCCGCAGCGCTCCTCATCCCCCGTCTAAGAGTCGTCTGAGAGTAGAGCATCTTCGTATAACGCCGAAGAAGAGAGTCCATGTCGCTGACTTAATGATTCACTTTATCCCATAATACAGCCGTGCATTCTCAGATATTCCCATAATAGACATGTGCTTAGAAACATGTAAAAAGATACGCGGAATTTGTGAAAAACTCGAACTTGGGAATACAATAGGCGTGACATTTCTAATTTAATTCTAATTTTAATGTATATCAAATTGCTCACATAAAAATCTATAAATACTCTTCCAGATCGTAATGTCAAACGTGCAATGTTATTTTAGTGAATCGCACGTAAGGATTAGTTAAATCGACGAATTATAATTCTACATTCAATCCAAACAATATACCGTCAAACAGCACGTTTTCCGAGACAGAAGCCGAAATAATAAGTAGCGCATGACAAAGGTTTTTCAAAGACGAGTAAGGGTGCACACGCAGATCGATTAATTGATAGGCGCGAGCGTATCGTCGGTCTCGCTGCAGGAAACTCGAAGGTCTGCGTTATCGATAATTCACTCGACTTGACCGTCCTCTCATTCGAACCACGGGTACCACCCTCCACGGTCCTGCCTCCTTCGCCCTATTTATATGATTAATGGCTTTATAATGACCATGCAAGCATTGCGATTCCACGTGCAGGACAGAGTAACCCTATCTTGCCGATAGCGGCGCGTTCACGCAAAAGAATTACTCGCCGTCTTACGAAGGGCGCCCGCGAGAACGCATACAATCGTCATAATAATAGCGTTTCTGGTTTTATTTTAATGAATACTGCATCGTTCGTGCTGTGTAACCGCGCTTTAAAAACGCATAAACCTTCCATTATCTCCGTTGCTCGATTAGCACTGAGCTTCACATTATGTGGCACTTACGTTATATTTGCATCCATTTCTTTTAGTACCACAATATTGTTGAAAACTTGTACGAATATAATTAGGTTTCTGCATGAATCTTATTAGCAGTACAGAATTTAAAAAAAGATATTAAGTTATTGTGAGTATATAAATTGAACAAGCCATATATTAATATTCAACAAAGTTTCTTTTAATTGTCATCGACCCTCTTGGTTTAAAGGTCTTCTAGACGATTGAATCGAATTAAAACATCCGGATTCTGTCGTCGATTTGCCCTGAATTTCCAACGGCCAACGAGGAAAGGATAATCGCGATCGATCGGTGTAAAATTTCTCGGGGGTGTCGGAGTGGCATCGGAATTGCGAGCCAGGTGAAATCGAGCTATCGAATCGACATCCGTCATGCGAACGCGTTAGGCTCTATACGTGTTCTCCTGACGGTAACTCTAGCCACTCGACGGTAATTCTCCGGTTGGCATGCGACCGCCACTCGAACGACACGATATCACACTGTCGAGCGTCGCGCCATTTTTTCCCATTTTTTTCAGGGCTCCCCTCGCGAGACCGACGCGACGTGTGCACGAATGGAAAGAGCGAGACATGAAGCCCTTTTAAATGTCCGCGAACTTGGTGCACAGCAACAAAATACAAAATTAATTGCAGGTCTTATGTTAGAGCAGCAGCACGCTAAGGCGCTCGAACCGTACGAGGTCTTGCTTCGTATACATGTGTATATTTATATACAAGTCCGATTATGGTCGAAAAACCAAACGTTCTAATGTTTTGGAAAAGATATGTAATATATAAGTGCATTTAATCATATATTAGTAATAAGTCAAATTTTTTTATTATTTGTTTTCAAAATTTGTTTATTATGTTGCTATGCCTCAAATTCTTTAATTGACACAATTAATCAGATTTTTTGAATTCTTTAAATTAATAGATACATGTTTTCCATTTAATACTTACATCGCGATAGTACGTAATTAAGTCCGACGAATCACTAGGAATAATTAGATGCAATAAAATTCAACTGTCCCTAATTTTATAAAATTGTTTCAATCATATAGTCCGAGTAATATTGTCTGGAAAAATTTAACACATTTTAAATACAATTATAATCACTGTAACTACAATGTATAATGAAGAAACGCTTCCGTTCTAATCATCATAAACACTAACAGAGAAATGTCTTTTAATTTCTTTCTCTAACACTTGATAGACACGTAAGTCAATCGCGAACGACTAAGCGCGAAAATTGTCGAACACGTAAGACAAAACAAAGCGTGCCAAGGTTTAAAATACACTGATCGCGACACACGGCAACGAGCAAACTCGGTATGCGACGACGCAGACCTACGTCTGTCTTTACGAGCCACGTGGCCAAGAATCGGCTGCGTCAAGCTGGTATAAAGGTGACAGAATAGATGTATATAGAGACCCGCATCCTCCACACCACGTAGACATTCATAGTCGTACACTAGCTAGGTAAAGGCATAGCCCGACCGGGCTACGTGGCTTACAAGCACGTGGGAAAAAGCGCGTGCGAAACAAGCGTCGATCGGCCGGCGGCTTCTACAGGGACCGCGTGCATAATGAATGTCGGGCGTATGCGCCCGTGTAGCGCGCCGCTCTACCTGGCAAAATAACACACATTTGTAGCTAATTTTCCGAACGATCGTCGTCGACGTCGAAGGGAACGAAGGAGCGAGCGGATACGAGAAAGACTCGAAGACTCGCGATATTGTCGTCACGACACGCCCCAATGTTCCGTAACCTCTGACCCTCGTCTTTCCTCAGACTCTTGTGCCGATTCGCCTGAGTTGACGATCGAATGTCGAGAGTCGTACGTTTCCTAGTATTGGTAAGAGCGCGTTCGACAAAAGTTTGCGACTGGAAGATTCTATTTCCCAAAGAAAATACACAATAATAAATGCAATGCATAGTCCGGAAAACTATGTGTGTGCACGTGTACTAATATCTTAATATTTATTCAGTAGAAGAATTTAAATATAAAATGTGTTGTTATATTTTTTTTTTAATCCGCCATCTAATCTTAAATCAATTCTAACTACAAGGGTGAAACTTTTCGTTATACAACTAGAATAAGCGAAACAATTCTCGATGGATGATTGCGATACGACTGTACTTAATGTGCTATTTTTCTTTGTAGTTTAATTTCGAGACCATTGATGGATATTCTTTTACAATGCAAGTGATAAGAAAGTTCAGGTTGAATGAACGACGTTGGGCCATAAGCTGCAATTTCCTTGACCCGCTTCCTTATTAATATTTCTCCGAGACTTATACACACATATAAGAGTTGCGCTAATGCACATGTATATGAAGACAAAGTGAACATACTACGTCATAATATTAGACTCAGAATGTTTCTATAGACTCAAACACATTCAAACAAGGCAATAAAAGAAGAATATTGCAGAAATGTACTTCTCTATAACGCTTAAATTCACTCCGTATAAAAGATTTCGCGATTTAATAATAATTATTTATTTATCAAATTTTTATGTCATAATAGTATGACTGATACAAATATAACACGCATGTAAAGAAATAACTTTAACTAAATTTAACAATCACAGAAAGAATACTTAGCTACACGAGAAAAGAATAAAGTTACACACATAAAAAGACTGTACTCTTTACATGTCTTTGTAACCATTATATTCAACTCTTTTCGAATTCTAGCGATGATACGCGCTCTGCATTCTACACATATATATATGCACTATCATCTATATCCACGGTAATGTGAGAACTATCGACTCTCACTTCGTTAGCGTAATAAGGGTAATTCTTTCGATGTTCTAAAGATATTGAATAAATGAAAAGAACTAATAAAAAAAAAAGAAAAAATAGGCACGTACTTAAAATCTATACGCGACAATAGACAGAATAGGGATCCAATGGCAGAGGGTGCACGAAAGTGAAATAATAAATGCGTCGCGTTGATATTTTTGCTGCACTCGGCCGCGGGGGAAGGATCGCGAAGGGGCGAAAACCGCGATAAATTGGAGAGCTTCGAGGAGCGTGACGCTTTTTAAAGCCCATGATTTTCTAGCGAAAGCTCGCGTTTCAGGTGGCGCGGAAGGGCGAGTTGGGGCGTGCGCTCCGTTTAGCTGCAACCCGACAATTACCTGTAGGGCATAATTGTCATCCCTTACGTTTTCCAAGACGGCGTCCCCTTTGCTCATTCCCCTCCCCCTCCCTACCCCCCACCTGACGAACGATTGCCCGTGTGCTCGCCCCCGCGGCCAAAGCTGCCCCGATGGGGGGGCGTCGGGTCACGCGAGGCCGTGCCTGTCGCCAGGAGTCCACGCGACGCGGAGAGAGCCACGCGATGCCGAAACAACACCGACTTACCTTACCTGTATCAGATTTCTAATTACTAATTTACTCCCGACCCGGACTCCTGGCCCCTTCCGTCGGCTTTACAGCGGAGACCACTTTCGTGCTCCTTAAAGCGAACAGGCATCGACGTCGCCTTGCGCGAGGTCGAGATTACGATCCGACTCTGACCTGAGATCTCTGAGATCGGATCTTCGATCGATAAAATGCACGTTTTCACGGTCTCAAATGACGTTGTTTGAATTATCTACTTAATACATTCGCTTTTTTTGTTTATAACAAGAAATGGAAAAAGTGCGCTAATAAGATTGATCGAGAAATCTGTGTAACTAATGACACGAAATGTGTGCACTGATAATAAATTATTAATAAATCGAATTTAGAATAAAATAAAAGAAAACGACTCTTCTCCCTTTAATATTGAAATTTGAGTTGCGATACGTGTGTGTGATACTGAAGAATCCGGAAAATATTAATACCAAGACAATATAAAAGCGTAAATTCCTGAATTAATTTCGTTATTAATCACAGTTTTTTGCATCAGTATACGCGAAGTTTGATTAATGTCTTGCTAATATAATTGTAAAGTATATTTAAGAGAAATATATAGATCGTGTGTTTTTTCGACTTACCACTCGTCGACAGAAAAACGCTCGAAACTTGTAAGTAAGTACTCTGTTGAAACGACGTGTTATTTACCTGTAATCAGAAGAAAAACGATACGATGAGAAAATATATCGTTAAGGGAACCTTCATCTCTCACACTTCTCGAGTTGTGATACGCGCGGACTCGTGCGAAACAGAGGACACGATGTTGTGGAACGCGTTGAGATGCAGAGAAGACGAAGGCGAATGTAATCGCGAGAATTAATTATTCCCATGCACGAATGTCATGTGCCTCCCTGTAATTACCCGGCGGGCATAATTTAAGGCGAGCAGAGTTGTTAACAATATCGTTCACGTTCCGGAGTTCGTCTAGGTGGTGAAGACCCCCCTTCGTCGACGAAAAGCAAAAGGGGACGCGCGCTGTAACGTTTAGTTCTGTCAAAGGACGTGATTCATAACCGCCCGGCGACATCAGCAATAGCCATAACACAGTACGGCGGTCCAACGATATATTACGTTTATAAATTAACGCGCGAAACTTTCGCAGTTGACTCGCGATAATCATTAATTTCACGTATTATCGTAAGTATGCAGTTCGCGATAGCGTGCGTCCCGTGGTCGGAACAATTAAAACGAGACGACGGGGCAAACAACGTTTTACAGCAGCGTCTCCTAGCAGCTTCATTTACGGTCCCGAGCTAATTTGCATCTTCGAGTCACGTGCCGTTTCGTTGGCGTTATTTCGCATCCTCCGCTCACCCCGTGTGCGGTTTATCATACTCTCGTGCGGGAAAAGTTTATTCCTTCGCTTCATTATTACTCGCGATTATACGCAATAAAATTGAAGCGGGTATCGCCCTTTTTCGTTACACACGAGTAATCCGAGCGGCGCGCTTCGTATCACGCTTAATCTCAATCTCATAATGCGCCCTGCCACTTCGGTGTACCGCGTATTCGCTGAGTATTACCGTCCCGGTGCCTCGTAACTCAACCTCCGCGATCCCGGCTTTGAGAGAGGAGCGTACCAGCGCGCGCGGCACGGTTATAACATTTACTTACTGCCGTTTAACCACTTATCACGTCGGATCTTGGATACCCGCGGCTTCTGCATCGCGCCCAAAGGCAGATTCGTGGAGTACAGAGGGACGGATCGAGGAAGCGCGTACAGATCTACGAGAGAGCAAGAGAGAGAGAGAGAGAGAGAGAGAAAGATAAAGGAGGAAGTGAGAGGAGAAGGGTCGATAGGGGATGAGAGAGGGTACGATACTAACGCGCATATCCATTACGCTAAGCGCGTGGAAACGTTTACGTGAACGTGTATAAGCGCGTATACATATCCGTCGTTATCCGTCCTACATCTGCCGCCCTCCTCCCCCTCCCAACCCCGCGTCGCGCCTGATCGCGATTACGCTCGCATGCTTCAAGGACATATCTGCCGGATATCAACTCGACTACTCGAGTCCTAAACGCTTACACATCCGAAACGCCGCGCCGTCGATATCCGGCCGCCCCTCTCTCCCCCTCCTCCCGTCGGATTCCTCTGTCCGGAACACGGTCCTCGTATCTCTCCCCCCCTCCTTCACCCGGCCAGCAATCTTGCCTTTGCAGCCGCCGAGGATATTTACCGATTCCAATTGGTTTCGTGATTGCGCCTAAGTGCTCGGATAGTTGGCGATGGCCGCTGCGCTGAGTTAGACGGACGGATAGATACGCGATTCTAAGTAACGCTCAGACGCATTCGGATTCCGAACGACAAGAGGGAATAATAATCCTGCTAGAGCGTGATACAAAGAGGGTAGACGGTGAAGAGAGAGAGAGAGAGAGAGAGAGAGAGAGAGAGAGAAATGCGTCGCTCTCTCTCTCTCTCTCCCTCTCTCTGATGAGCGAACTGTAAATTCCATTAACGTACGCAACGATGAAATAATTCGCGCGCTCGTAACATAACGCTAAAGTAGAGGCATTTGCCGGGTGTTGAAGCAATATTACGAAACTTTTAATTGATCTGCACATAAGAGTTACAATTAAGTACTGATCTTCTATCATCTAATATAATTGCGGGAATGCACGATGCAAAAAAGTATATACAAGTAATAATTAGGGTATGTAGCAAACAAATTCTATTACTGTTACTATAATTATAAGTTTTAAATGCATATGTTAGATTATCTTGGTAATATATAAGACTCCTTGAACTACTTAAATATAATATTTACATCCATTACTCAAACACTATAAAATTTCTGTGTTTCTCTGCATTTTAACAATAGAAATACATATAAAAGTATGATTAATGGATAATAAAATCATTGCCTCACTAGATAATCATAAATTTTAATAGACAAATAAGATGTGCGGATAGGAAAAGGTTGCAGGTTAGGTAAACATGCCAAAGGGCCTTTCTGGCTGGCTCTGATGTGGTCTGCAGTCTCGGCTTAATAACCCTCGACCTCGTCAAACAAGCGCTTCTAACCGGCCTGTTCGCCTCTGGCATTGAGAATTCTCAGCGATAACGCGAGAATGATGTCAAGAGAGAATATATTGCAAGTATCTTATACGCAAAAATAATCGAAATAGTCGCGCAGTGATCAATTAGTCCCACTAAACAGATTTTCATGAAAATTTGCATTGGGGAAAAGCTAGGGCAAGCTTTATTTAATATAAACACAAGAAATCCCTTAAAAAATCCAGATTTAAAAACACTATTTCTCCCACTCATTATAATAACCGGATATCCTGAATTTCACAAATCCTACATTTCATAAGTTAAAACATCCGAGGATTTTAGTTGCCACGTGGTTTCATGTATCATGCGTCATAGATTAAGTATTTTATGTATTTAATTAGATCCATTATATTTTAAAGATTTTTCTGCTCAATATCTAAGATAGAATTTTCGTGGATCGTGGATAATACGCTGAGAGAAACGGAATTCATACGTGCTGTAAGGTACTTTGATATCAAAAAAATTGGCGGAAAGTCACGAGGAACGAAGTAGCAGATTATATCGTTGCGCCGCGCTCGTGTGTACGAACGATGCAAGAGGAACCATGAAGAGGGGAAGCGCGGCGAGTGGCTCATCGACTGGTACAGACTAGTACCGATATTACCCTGCACCCTGCACGGCAAGGAAGCAGGGAAGTGAGAAAGAGAGAGAAAGAGAGACGAAGAGAAAGAGAGAGAGAGAGAGATAGGAGTATGTAAGCTCGTAGGTATCCACTTCCCTTCTCCGCGATCAATTAATTCCGGACACTAATGCTTTTCTAAAGACACACACCCAACCGGCTCACCACTCGGCCGATAAGCAACTATTCCGAGAGAGCTGTCGGTCGGAACCATCGAATTGCACGTCACGCGATTCCTTCGCGATCGCAATGCACTTTCCTCTGTCGACTTGACTGGCAACCGTTGCAATAAAAAGAATTTAAGAGATAAATTTATGTAATACTTTCTTCCAATTATATATTAAATTTCCCGCAATTTTGCGTTTTAAATTAAATTGATTAATTTCTAATAGTTTGCAGAAATACATAAACTCTCTTAAGAATGCATACATACATTTTAAAAGAGCCAAAGCATATTCGGAATCGGATCTGAATCCTCTGCATATGCATCCGTTAAATTTCCGATCCTCAAAGTTACAAAGTTCATGTGCGCGATAAATTTTCGTTGTATTTGGTTTCATCCCCCCGTCGGAAAATCGACGAAGGCTCCCCGTAATAGGCATCTATCTGCACGTTACTTCACATCTACGACTACGAGGCTGGCTTTCTCCCCCGAGTATTCTAATTGTGAGAGACAGTCCCGGGAAAATACTCGGCGGAAGTTTCCTGCAGCCTCGCTCCTCGAGCATATCGCCGGTATTTCAATGTGCCACCAACACCAGCAGCGTCCCGGCCGCACCAACTCTTACCTTTCGGTAACACCTACGCTATTTCCCACCTTCCGGCACCATCCAACGGCGCTTCCCCCCGGACTTCATTCCAAAAGCAAAATTAAGTACCTACGAGAGATGGTAAATACAGTCACCGGCGTATTTCTCGAGGTAGGTAGGTAAACTCGAGATTGGTGGCGTCTCACTTCGATGGGGGACCAGATGCGTGTTTCACGAAATGCTCTTCTTGTTAAGCTTAGATGTGATAGAGAATTGGCGATAGAGAATAATTACATGGCCGTAATCATATTCTCGCAAATGCGGGTCGATATAACATGCGTTAAAAATAAAATCATAGAATTAATTATAAAAATATCCTAACAAGAAGAGAGTAACAGTCGTATTAAAGTCTTATTAAATTATCTATAAACATACAAGTTACAAAAAAAAAGTTTCAAAAAAAGAGAATCTTTTTCTTTTCTTTTATTAATGTTTGAAAATATCCTTTAATTCTCTGTCATTTAGTCAAATATTCTTGTTAACTGCTTTAGCCTGAGATTAGTTTGTCTCTTGATTTTAATACCACACTTGTTATAAGTCATTATATAAATTATAAGAGCTGCAGAATTTTTGGATGCGCGCGTGTCAACCGTTATAGTACAGCGATCTTTGAAAATGAGAAGAAGCGTCAACGGGGCTTTTGAGAAGTTCTCAAGAGTGACGTTGATCCCTCTCCCGTTACCCGTTGCGACTGTCACTCACAATTAGCCGTCCCGAAGGATCTGCCAGCTAGGAAGAGAAGGAGCCCTGGGAAAATAGAGGAGAACAAAATAAAGGGCGGGAGAAGAGGTAAGATAGCAGGAGCGGAGGGAGAAGGCGACTACCGCTTGACGGCGCATCTTACATGACAGTCTTTGTATTAACTATCAGGTAACTTCTTCCTGTCAACCCTTTTGCGCCCTCATCTCGTTGTTCCTATGCCAAGAGCCTCTTTACTCCCCGACCATTCAGTACCGGATAAGGAAAGAGAGTAAGAAAGAGAAAGAGGGTACGAAGAGAATAACGAGGTGAAGAAAGAAGAGAGACGAAGAAAGATAGAAGCGAATTAGCACTGTCAAGGTAAGTGCTAATCCTGTAAAATGCCTGCGAACGTAGCACACAAGAATACGGTAGCGCTTATATCACAGCAAAGTTTCCATTCTAGCAGTTATTTGGG